TTATACAACAAAAGAGGCTTTATCAATGTGATTTGATCAATTCGAAAGAGGTCGGGTTATATTGTATATTTATATACAAGTAAAATGTCGGCGGTTTATAGCTGGAGCCTTAATTATTAGTTCTTAAATTTTGAAATTGTTTAAAAAATCTTAGGGTTTTAATATCGTAAAGAAACTAATCTTTACTTTCTACTATACGGCTTATCTTAATATTGTAATCGATTAAAAAAGATATCCATACGAATTCTTGATAGACTTAAAGCTATAAGGAGAAAGTTTTTAAATTCAAATTTTTTATTAATTATACTAGTGTTATACTATTTTAAATTTTTTTTGTTAATTCTAAGGCATATAAATTTCGTAAAATAGAAAAATAAATTTTCAACGTAGAGTAGATGTTTTATTAAGAGCAAGCTACTATATTTTAAACCAAAGATTTTGGTATCCCTGATCCTAATTTGGGTTCAAAATTGTTTAGATTCTGACCTTGACCTAAATCAGGACTAGTTGAACAGGAGCCGGATATTCCCGAAATTCAGTAAAGGCTTGAAAGGCTTTCATTTCAATCCCTCCAATCAACGTCAAGAAAGACAACTGTCATAATCAGTCATACGTATTTGTTATATTCATTCAGCGGTAATTATAAACTTTAAATTATAATAACAAGGATAAAGCGTTAATCTAGCTTTTTTCGCCATATCAGATGTTGATTTATTAAAATTCATCAAGTTTGAAGTTTATATGCGATCATTTTATATCTTTATAAAGTAAGACGCATTCTTAAAAGAATGATAAAATCCGGAAACCTTCGGATAATAATGTCAGCGAAGTGTTTACAATAATAACGCTCTAAGCCATGTATAACGCTAAGCCTCCAAACGAATAGAATGAATTTCCTTTAGCGGAAAACTTATTGTCTAGAGCCATGTTCTTGTCAAGATTTCTACAAATTAAACGCCCTTTCATGAGAAAACTTTAGTGTTAGTACTAAGTTACAATGTGAAAAACTCCTACGTACTCCTATTTTAAAAAAAAAAATTTAAAACGTTATAACTTATTATTTGCCTTGAAGTTTACATTACAGCATTATGACATATATTTCATTTCTTCCGTTTTGTGTCCTAACCGCTTTGTTCGCGTATCCAACTCTATTATTGATTGTCTTTTGTCCAATGTTTGGTAATATTAGTCAAAGATCCATGTTTAGTTTTTTTTTTTTTTTTTAATTCTAATATTCCCTTGATTTTTTTTACAGAAGTGCTCAAGATTTTTGCCTTTATTTCAACTAATGGCGCACTAAAACTAAACTGGTTCATCGAAATTTTGTAATATTATCTTTTTTTTTTATTTTACAGCATTTCCTTCAATGATTACGGTAGCATTAATATAATCTATATTAATTTTTTCAGGTACTTATTTACTTCATCTTTTCCGATCGGTAAATAACAGATTTCAATTTAATTCTTTATTTATTTTACTGTATCTGGTCATTCTTTTATTTATTTTTTTTTCGAAATTTTATAGTTACAACATTTTTTTGCTGTCTAACCAGCAAAGAGAGTAGTGCACCTGATGCATTTTTGCAGAAACGATGCTTTAAAAGAGTTTTAATGTATTATCATTATAAATGTCCTAGAAAAATCTGGTACTATACAAATTCATGACATTTATTTTTAATACTAAACATATTTCGAATTTTTTATTTTTTTTAGATATTTATGTCCAATTTTATGGATGATTGTTCCAGGTAAGTTTCATTGAAGTATTCAAGTATTTCTTTTTACCTTTTCAAATATTCTGATTCTCTCCATTTAATCTTTCAGTATTATATACATATTTAACATTTTATGAAATGGGTGATATTCCATTAACATGTCCACAAGATTATACATATGAAACCTCAGAAATTCGATTAGCATGTAATATCAGATTAACAAACCTACTATGCATGTTGGTATTTCCAATACTTTGTGTATTATATGGTATTTCTGTTTGGATATTAATTACATGTTCAAAAAGAACTGGTCAAAAATGTGAATTTAAAAGTATTCAATTTTTAAAATTGTATAAAAATGCTTTATTCTCAGATAATGGATATAGTAGGGTTATGGATGAGGACGATGATGATATAGATTTTGAAGAAAATAGAATAATTTTTGATGAGGAAGAAGAATTTATTAAAGCTGAACTTGATAATTTTAAATCAAACTCTAATTTAGATTTAGTATAGTCTTTTTTTGATATAACGCTGAGACTTGTTAATTTAG